AAGAGGGTGGTATGCTCTGATAACATGTTATGTGATAGCTCATGAAGTTCTTCAGACAGATGATAGCTGGGCAAACATCTACCTGATATGGAGAGTCCATCTCCAGCACAAGAGGCACGCTCAGCCCTCCAGATAGATCCCTGCCAGCACTGCCACTCCTTGCATGGAATTCCAAAACAAACAAGTCAACAGCAAAGGAAAGTCTATGCACCTCCCGCTATCTTCTCCTGAGCATCCCATATGGTTTCAGGTATAACATGTCTTAGGATGGGTCTGGACTTGAAGTCTACACCAACATGGGTGACCAGGAAGGATCATGGCATGGGGTTGGAATGAGAATCTTTAAGGTCTCTTCCAATCCAAATCATTTTAGGATTCCATGATCCTTCAGAAAAGTTCCCCTAGTTTGTACAGACCAAAACATATTGTGCAAAACCAATTAAACCTCACCAAGAGAATGAGCTTCAAAGCAGGATATTGCTCAAAGTGAGAGAAAAGACTTGTTTTGTTCTCTATTTCTGCCCTCCCATAGTTTTACACTAAGCACTCTTGGCTCTCAAAAGTCTGTGGTTATACCCCAACTTCAGGGTCCTGAAGGCAAAGGCCTGTGTCCCTCTCTTTTTGGAAGGATAAAGGAAAAAGGCAATGAGAACATGTCAATTTTTTTCCTTGGATAACAGCAGCCCCCTTTAATAGTGCCCCTTGGATCTGTAAGACATGCTTGACCAGACATACCTCTGGAAGAGGTCAGCACTCCTGGGATTAAGAAACTTAGCAACGCTCCAGAGAGGGAGTTGAAAAGTCATGTTTAATGATACTTTGCTGAGAAACTGGGCAAATTTAATTAAAACATCACTTACTCAAGCCCAGTGGAACTAATTGAGTGCTCTAATATTCCGACTTTTCATTAATGGGTTACAAAAGAGGACTGCACTTGTGTGTATAAGGGGGAAGAAGGGGGAGGATATAGAGAAGATGAGAGCTTTAGCAAGGCTGCCTGTGCTTTATTTAATATAGCTAAGAAACTTCCTTGCTGGCAGTAGAGTTTTAATACAGTTGACTTCTCTCACCACCACCACCCCCATCCCCTCAACACATACACACATTTCCCCCTCTCAGCACACACCCTCTCCACCCAAGACCCCTCAGAAAGAATAGGTGAATGAGGGAGAGTAGATTTGGCCAAGGAAGGGAAATTGCTTTTTTAATAAGTGGTCTATTCAGAGCTCCTACTTTTCAATAAAGAGAAAGCTGGAGAAGTCCTGGTCTAATTACCTCATCCTCACACTAGACAAGCTCGCCCTTTCATTAACCACTGAGGTCATATCATATAACTTGGTGAGCCATCACAGGCACAACATGTTCAGTGATTATTTCATTGGTGGCAGCAAAATTACAGTCAGCCCATCAAGGTTGTAAAAACCAGAAGTAAAATCATAATTAAATGAGAACGTCTACCAAGAGACACTAAAACTAGGCGGGATAGGATAATGTCACCCTCTCAGAAATACACAGATTGTTTGCTAGTGTGACACCATGGAGAAACTGCTATTAGTCCAGAAGGGAGAGAGTTGGTTGCCAAATTAGTCAGTGAAGCACAGGTCCATTTTTTCCTGCATCTCAAGGGGTTATTTGTATGTTTTGCCATGGTTGAGAGTAATTAGATGTGAAAGATTACATATTAAGAATCAGTGAAAGACCACCAAGCTTGTGCTGCATCTTTAATACATATTCCTCCACTCTCTCAGCTAACACAAACATGCACATCCATCCACACACTAAACACTCCAGTTCCAAATTGTTCAGGTCCAAAATGTCACAAATCAAGGCTACCTGCACTCCTGTATTGCCTTTGATCAAAATCAAATAACCCAACTAGGTTAGTTCAAAGTGGTTTCACACTGTTGTGGTCACTAGGTTAGCAAATCCTACTCGATGGTTGGAAACTCTTTACATCAGAGATTAGCTGATGGGCAGCTTCTTCAGAGAGAAGTAGGGAAAAGGTGCTGAGAATCATTTTACCCACTACCTTCATCAAGGTAAATATCAGAGAATCATAGAAATAGCTGGGTAGGAAAAGACCCCAAAGATAATCGAGTCCAACCCTGCCATGGTTGCTAGACCATGGCACTAAGTGCCACATCCAGTCTCATCTTGAAAACCTCCAGGGACAGTGGATCCACCACCTCCCCGGGCAGCCCATTCCAATGCCTGATCACTCTCTCCATAAAAAAAATCTCTTCCTAATATCTCTGTCTCTTTCTCTCTCTCTCAATAAATTCAGCAAGGAACCTGGTAGTGCTGCTTAGCACCTCTCATCTTCCAGTGCTGCACTCAGTGGGAGCAAGAGAAAGAGCATAGATTGAACCTGATATTAATCTACACCTGAGTAGAAGCAATGTCAACCACATCAAGAAGGACAATGCTTAAGCTTCAAACTGGTTTCAATATTTTAGAATCTGAAGCAAGCACTGCAAGTTTTGACCTTGCAGTTACAAAGTCAGCCTGGGTCCCCAATCTCAAATCATCTTCTTAATGACACCATACTGTGCCAGTGGTTTAGGTCCATGTATCATGACTATATAGATGTACGTTCTCCTAATCTTCAACCACCATCCTCCTAAAAACTTCCACCTCAGTGTGAAGTTCATTTGTTCGCTGCTTGGCTTCATGGTGGCATGAATCTGGTGAGCTGCTTGGCTTGTCTTTCAACCAAACCATGATACAATTATTCCAGGAGCACAAACAAAGAAATCATTTCAACTGCTGCTGCAAATAGGCAAGGAAAGCTGTCAGACAGCAATACCAACTCGACAGACATGTTGTGGGTCGACAAAAATAGGAACACTGGATCACTGACCTGCAGCAGCAAAGGTCTTTGACTTGGATTGCCATGAGGGCTCTCTGAGTCTGGACAACCATCACAACTGTTACTCAGCTGTTTAGCTGCAGATATTACACTTGTGCTGTGAAACCACTGCCAATGACCAGAGCCTGACTGTGCCAAGTGATGCAGAGGCAAAGGATGCTGGAGAATCCTACATCTTCCCCTGGGAACTAACTTGTATTTAGTAGGACAAGAAAGGGAAGGAAGAAAGGGAAGAATCAATCCCTCCAACTCATCCTTGGGGCTCAAAGTCACATAGTGTAGAGCAGAGATGATAAATAAGGACACCTAACCTATATCCAAGGCTGGTCCAAGCCATACAGGCATCCTGACTGCAGCTATTGGGATGGGAAACACAGAGGTCAAATCCCTTGGGAAAGTCTTTTAGGCCCACCACTGCTGGGACATATTCATGGAGTTACAAGAACATGTCAATGGCACCTAAAGCCACAGTCTCGTAGGTTTTGATAAGACTGTATAATATGACTCTGGAATGGGAGGAGAGCTGAGACAGCTCACAGCAATTTCCAGCATGAAATCAGTGTCCATGGACCACCTTCTCCATTGGCAGTCCCATCTGCTACACAGCCAACTCCGAAGTGTTAGGACAGGCTCTTGGGAACAACCAGCAAGATTTAAACAAATTTCATTATCCTGCAAAGCTTGTTTCACACATCCAAGAGCTGCAACAAGAGTCCAGAGACACTGAGCCCTTTAATGCAGAGCAGAAGAGCTGTCAACCAAAACCAGACACCAGCTAAATCCAGGATATTTCTAATCCTGACCTCAGAACTGTCTAGGAGCATCTGGTGGTGGGGAAAGGGGGAAACATTTTGATGTCCAGCACTCGCTGGTGGCATTCTCCAATGCCCCAACTCTGTCATGAGGAATGATATTTTATACATACACACAGGAACAACTGAGCTGGGGTGGCCATTCCTAGAATGCACAACTGGCTGGGCTGCATTTGCCTGGGAAACTGGAGACTCAGGTCCCCCATCCCAGCCCCAACCCTGCATCCAATCACACAGACAATAACAAGGCTCGAAGGCTATTTCTAGCATTACAGTATGTCCCACTCTGAGGTTGGTGCAGTGAAACACTGATCCTAAGCACCTGTGCTAGCCAATCTGAGGGATTTTCATGTTCGAGCAACTCTAGGCTAGGTACAGCCAAGCAGATTATGGGAGAAGGTGGAAAGCCCCTTCCTTTCACCCCTTGTTGGGATGACCCAGCAATTGCCAACACATTGTCCTTTACATCAGTCATAGAATATCCTGAGTTGGAAGTGAGAAGGACCATCAAGTCCAAATCCTGGCCCTGCACAGGACAACTCCAAAAAAAACCCCAAAAAAATCACACCATGTGCCAGACAGCATTGTCAAAACACTTCTTGAACTCTGGCAGTTCTGCAGGGAGGCCTCCAGGGTCTGCAGAGTAAAGCCTCCTGGGAAGAACAAGGGGTAAATAGCAACAAGTCCTCCAGCAGAGAGGATTAGGATGGGAAAAGATAAAAGGGACTCTACACCCAAGCACTGCCATTTGCAAATGCATCAGCTCTAGACATCACACAAGGTTTCTAGCAGAAAACAAAGGTGAAGGGTCTTTTAGGACTGAGGTCAGTCAAAAAAATAGTCTCTCCACCCTGGTTCCCTGCCAAGTGTTTCTCCAGCCAGTTTTAAAGAAACTTGGCTATGGAGATGCTTGGCTGTTCACGCTCTACTGAACTGCCATAAGAAAAGCATCCCCCAACCTGTGTTGTGGCAGTATAAATCCCTTCCTCTTCATCCAACCTCATGTAAACCTGAAGAACATATCTTTCCATCCCTTTGTAGTGTAAGACCCTGTGGAAAACCAGCAATCTTTGTAACCACCTTAGTTTCTAGACCTGGACAGTCCCATTTCTTTCTCTCTTATCTCTCCAACAGTTTTGCTCAAGTCTTAAAGCACAGTGACAAAACTAGCACATAGTTCCATAACAGACATCACCCCTCCAGCAGAAGAATCACTCCATGCATTTTGCATCCAAACACTTCTGCTTCCACACCCAAGTGCAGCCCCTTATCACCCCCACAATAGTGTGAACCCCACCAGCGAGCAGTCCGCAACGCACCTTCATGCCCACAAGGTTATTGTGGAAGTCCACCCTGGCTCGCAAGTCCTTGTTGGGCTTCCTCCCTAGGAACTCCTTGACGAACTTGTTGCTATATTTCAGGTTGTCACCACAGCCTCCCCACTGCCAAGCCTCCCTGTTCTCCAGGTCAGGGGCCTCGTCGCAGGTGCATCGCTCCATCCGCCCCGCGCTGCAGGCCTTGGCCATGGCGTGTGTCAGCCCTGCGGAGGAGATGGCGTACAAGAAGGCTGTCTCCTTAAAACCTGCAGGAGAGAGGAAGAAGCAGCTTGATTTGCAGCTGGAACGAGGGTTAAAGAAAGAAAAGAAAAACAGAAAATTAAGGCAAAACCCACTGTGAGCAGAGCTGGAGTGGTGTCACGGAGTCAGAGAATGGGTAAAGTTGGAAGGGACCACAGTGGGTCATCTGGTCCAACCTCCCTGCTCAAGAAGGGTCATCCCAGAGCACAAGGCACAGTGATTCTGGAACATCTCCAATGAGGGAGAACCCTCACCCTCTCTGGGCAATCTGTTCAGTGCTTGGCCACCCACACAGGAAAGAAGTTCTTCCTCATGTTCAGGTGGAACTTCCTGTGTATCAGTGTCTGCCCATTGCCTTTTGCCATAGAATCATAGAATTTTAGGCGTTGGAATGGACCTTAGAGATCATCTAGTCCCAATCTCCCCTACCATGGGCAGGGACACCTCCCCACTAGACCAGGTTGCTCAAGGCCTCATCCAGTCTGGCTTTGAACACTGCCAGACTTGGGGCAAAACCCATTGCTTGTCCCATTTCTTAGCAGCACCACCATGCAGAGCCTGCTGCAACCTCTGACAACCTCAAAGCATGTCAGGATGTACATTCATCACTGATGGTAAAGAGGACCCATTGAAGGGCAAGGAATGATGGACAGAGGTGGCACAAGCCAGAAGTCAAAGACAAAATCTGGCCAGCTGTAAGGTTGCCACTCTGCAGACAGCCTCAGCCTGAAGATGGAAAGTGAGCAAGAGTTGTCTTATCCCTGGAAGTGTTCAAAGCCAGGTTGGATGGGATTTGGAGCAACCTGGGCCAGTGGAAGGTGTCCCTGCCCATGGCAGGGAGGTTGGAACTAGATGATCTTTAAGGTCCCCTCAAGCCCAGATCATTCTATGGTTCCATAAAAAGTTGGCCAGGCTATGGAGGTATGATGGTACAGCAATACTGTTACCAAGGAGACACCAAATAGCAGGACAGCACAGACTTGCAGTCTGATGCTTGGGGTAGAAACCATAAGTGCTCCTTTTTTTTTCCTCTCTCTCCCTGAATAAAGCTACTAGGTGCTACTCACTCCAGACCAACAAAACTGTTAGCAGACAGCACCTGATGGATGGGAAGCAGACAGTCTGTCACCCAACAGCACCTCACTCAAATGCCTCAAAAAGCAGTTTACACCTCAAACCTGTCAGGCACAGCCTTCTTTCTACCTCCACACTCACCTGCAGGGATGCAACATCATCTGCTTCCCCCAATAGGTAAACTAACACCCAGAGACACCCATGATTTCAATCCAAATGATAAAAGCCAGAAATATAAAGCAAACATGCCAGTATTTATAGCTCCTCATTGTCCGGCTCTGGAAGCCGTAAACGACTGCATATTTGAGATGCAATTCCAGAACAGCTTTGGATGGGACTCAAGAAATCCCCCACTCAAAAATAACACAAGTAGATAGTGACAGTAGTGGATATATCTGTAGGCTGGTGTGTCAACCAAGGACATGCAGAGACACTGCCAGGTCATTTTTGGAACTGTTCCTTGGGAGGCTCATGATAGTCCAAGCAAGCTCATGGGGTGCTACCCTGGCCCATTCCCAGAGCCTGCCTTTGCAAAACACTCCCAGGTGCACAAAGACTGATGAAAATCCATCCAAGGAGACTAAGGTTTGGTCCTCCCAAAGGTTCTGACTCAAACCCAGTTGTGGTAGGAATTAGCCAACCATTCTATTGCTCACCTGGAAAAGAAGAGCAATAACCTCTTCCTTACTGAAATTACAGTTAAAATAAGGCTCAACTCCACACTCACTGAGAACACTGTAAGGAGTAGTCAGGGTTGAGAAACCAAATTCAGAGTTTTTCCCCTCCATTTCCTCCCTGAAATTAGACCATGTGCTCTGACACCACAGAAACATCTTCAGCGTTGCAAACTCTCTCACTGGGAGCAGAGAAAGAATGACTTCATTCACACAAAAAAACTCGTGGATACACAGGCCACCAAACTCCTCTGGGTAGAACATGTCTTCTAAGCAGCTTTCATCCTTTGCAGGCTATATTTTAGGTTACACCCTAGGTCAGACTGCCCACATGCCTGTCAGAGGGATGCCACTACTAAAGACAGATGTTCCCAAGCCTCTGTGCTCCTGGATTGTAGAACTGACTTCTTGCCACAGCTACTACTTGTGCTACAGAGAGGTACCAGTGTGCTAAAAAACAGTCCTCAATAAAGTAGGGTGTGTGAATTTTCCTCTGAAGGCCTGAGACTGCAGTCACAATAGTTTGGATTGGAAGAGCCCTTGAAGTCCCTCATTTCACCCTGCTGCCATAGGCAGGAACACCTTGCATAGACCAGAGTGCTCAAAGCCCCATTCAACCTGGCCTTGAACACTTAATTCACAGCAAACAGCTTAGCTGTGGTACAGTTTAGTAGACAGCTCAGATCTACAAACTGCCTGAAGACCTCCTTTCGTGAACCACTGAATTCAGAGTGGTTGTGTTACAAACTGCCTGAAGACCTCCTGCTGTGAACCACTGAATTCAGAGTGGTTGTGAAATCTCAGAAGAAATTCAGCACCATGCAACCACAACCACATGGCAGGTTTGCCAGAAAGCCAGAAGAAATGGTTCCTTTGCCAAGTTCTCCTCTTCCATCAACCTCCACCCATCAACTTCAGCTCTAGTCCCCCCATTCTCCATCACTGAAACCTCCACAAACTCCCAGTGCCCATCAGCATGGGTATCATCTCACCCACAGGCAGCTCAGGCGTCTTCCAACAAAGTCCATGTGACATTTGGCTCTGGCCAGATTTAAAGCCATCTCCTCCACACACTATTTGATTGCACCAAGATATTTTGTAACAAGATAATGAGCTTTAAATCAATGCAGGCATTCTAACCCCCAGTGCATTGACAGTCTGCAGCCACAGCTATCCAATTTCAGCCATTTCCAAAATTGTTCCTGAGTATCCAAAGAGGATAACAAGTCCCTTAAACAATCCCCTGTTATTTTAAGAAACAGGCTACATCAGCCCAAGTTGCAAACCAGCAGTCAAGTTGTTCTAGTGACTAAGTATACAAGTGAAGGGAGAAACTGTTAAGCGAATAAAGTGGTTTGGAGTTTCCCCCCTCCCCCCTCTTTCCTTAAGAAGCTGCAATGGTCCTGGAGGAGAGGCAGCAAACCCACATTGCTGTATTTGAATAACTGTGTCTTAGTGGGTGATACATGTGTGCCTTTGGCCCTAAGGTATCACTTGCTGCATTGCTGGACCAGGAACCAGCAGCTCCTGGAAAGGAGGAGAAAGATTTACAGGGCAGTGTGTTATCCTGCAGGAACAACATCTGAAGGATTTACAGCATCGGTGGAGGGCAGTGATGTTGCAGGGGCATAAAACATGGAAGAATGAGACAGCAGGCAGAGCCTTGCAGCCCTCAGAGCTATCATTTATTACACAAGTCCCTGACAAGGGGTGGGATGAGGGAATCTCAATGGTGTTTTAAGGCAGCCCAACTCCAGGCTGCTTCGAAATACCTATCATCCAGGGCTGCCCAGGGGACATGCACGTCTGAAGGAACAAGCTGTGGCCTCCAGGTGTCAGCATGAGAAAGTGCTTGGCTTTCCCAAGGCACCACTAATCCAGGGACTCCTCTGGCATGCAAGGATATTTTTAAATGTCTTGCAGCTCTGGCCGGACCTCTTGGGTTTCATAAGGACTTTCCTTGTTTCCACTAGTCAGTGACAGTGCATTAGTTAAGCCGTAGAGCTTCTGAATTACTCCTCCTCACTAATTAGTGAGAGAGGAGGCCTTGCAAACTTCTGCTCTTATCTTTGAGCACATCAGACCCTGGATTCCTAAATCCAGCTCCACTGCTGAGCGTGGGACTTTCTAGAAGTCACTAAGGCCCTTAAGACCCTTTCACGTTGTCTGCAAAATGGTCCTGCTGCACTGTTAGCTGGAGGCCAGAAATAAGAACTGGATTTTACTGGGAGGGTAGAAGAAATTGGACAATATGAGATAGTCAGAAGTTATAGAGTATTCCAGCAGCAGGTGGTATTTTTATACTTCCTTTATACTATCTCCACCTGAGCTGCTGGGAAGAGGTGTGGGAACTACCCATCACTCACAACCAGGAGCTTTTTCCCTGGGTAGAGCAATAACAGGACACAAACATTTGCAGGTTTTGCCCTGTACTATGACACAGCTCCCCTTGCCCTCTCTAACAGGAAAGAACAAAACTGTCTGTTTTACCTTATTTCCCTTAACAATGCATTTTCTCAACTTTCCCAAAAGACTGATCTAATAAATAGAAAAAAATAAATAAAGTAAGAAGAAAAGAGGGTACAGCTTTGGGAGCATCAACACTTTTCCCTGCAGCAACAGCAGAAGTGAGGAACATACATAGCTACTGGCTACAGACACATACCCAGACATCTCCAGTCTCCAAGCAGTAGGAACCAGGTGGGACAAGGACATAAATTACCACCATCACCACATTCTGTGCCTGCTGTACACTTTTATGGATGAGCTTAAGCCTTCTACAAGCTCTTTTTGAACCTCTGGGGTGATGGAGACCCACCATTGGCAAAGAATGCACCAAACTGACCACTCTGCAAAACACCAGGGAAGCTGATGGGTGCAAGGGGTGCCAGTAGCCCCAGAGACCCCCCACTTCACTCACCTCTCTTTAGCAAGCTCGCCCTGTATCGACCCTCGAGGGTGCAGTTCCAGCGCTCAAAGCGAAACTGGTACTGGCACTCCAGGGCACTCATGCTGATAGCCTCCATCAGGGTCTCGGCCACACCAGGGTCCCGGCGGCACATCCTGCGCTGCTTCTTCTCCAGCTTCAGGCGGTCACAGACTTTGTAGTGGGCTTTCACTGCAGCTTCCTCCATTTCTGAGGTCAGAGGGAGGATGGTCAGGGGTTCATTCCCCGTCAGCCTGCAAAGAAAGAGGGGAACAGCAGTAAGGAAAAGGAAGAAATTTTATGAAGAAATTTTTGACTGAGAGTGGTAAAGTACTGGCACAGGTTGCCCAGGGAAGCTGTGGCTGCCCCATCCCTGGAAGTGTTCAAAGGCCAGGCTGGATGGGGTTTGGAGCAACCTGGGTTAGTGGAAGGTGTCCCTGCCCACAGCAGATGGTTGGAACAAGATGATCCCTCCAAGATCCTTTCCAACCCAAACCATTCTATGAAATACAGCCCATGGTATAAAGGGGAACCATGGTTGGATCAGGATCTCTCTGACAGAGTTCCACAGGGACTTGCTGATGTCTGGGCCAGGAGTGATTTTATAACACAGCACCCTGCATTGTGCAAGGTGGGTGCAAGAGAATAAGGGTAAGAAGCAATTAGGTAGCTCTCACAGAGCTAGTTTGGACAAAAGACCTTGGCCATCTCCACCACAGTTTAAAACTGAAATTGGAAGGGAATAATTTAAGGTGCCTAACTGCATGAAGTTAGGAAAATAACAAAAATAAAAGAACACCGTGGTCACTCTCCTGTGCATAAATGAAAAATCATTTTAGTACATCAAGCAGAGCCAGAACCAGCTTGGGAAGGGACAGAGAATGATTTGTCCCACCAAACCCCAAGAGAGACACCGAGAAAGCACACAAAGCCACCCTGCCCTCAGCAGAAGAGATCTTGACATAAAACCTAGTGAGCCACAGCCTGACGCTTGAGCAGGATACAGTTTCCAGGAGATCTTGCCAAAAGCTCTTACAAGACAGAACAAGCTCAAAACCTGAAAAAATAACCTGAAGAAATTCATGTCTCATTGTCTTCTCCCCTCCCGTGCCTTGTCCCAGCACAGGGTCCTTGACTCATACAATGTGCAACAAAAGACACAAGCACTCTGTTCCCAGTGTCAAGTGACAAGCTGCTGGAAAAGGACCAGGCTGGCATCAGCCCCAGGGAGCTGAGAGGCTGCAGGAACATCTGCTGGGCTCAGGAGTGGTTTGTTGGCTAGGCTGCTGGACCCCACTCTCCTGGCTCTGCCCTGTTCCGGCCAGGTGTCAGTCAATGGGAATCATTCTGCAGGGTTTTGGAGGACCCAAAGACACATTTCCTCCACCAAAAAGGAATAACGGCTTAAATCCAGAACTGGAAATATGCTGGAACATTGCAATCCTGCACAGGCAAGTTTGGAGATGGGTCAAACACTTGGACATCTCCATTGCTGAAGGACCATCGGGGAAAATGTAGTATAGCACACTCACCCCCTTTGCTGAACACAGATGAATCCTGGAAACCCCTTAAAACCCCTCTTGTCTCACAGGAGCAGTGATTTGTTGTTCATCTCTAATCAATGGGGTGCATCCTGCCAGAAGTAGAGGTCCTGAGGACAGGCAGCTAAGATGCTTTAGCTCCCAAACCTCTGTGCACAATGGGCATAAAACCCTGATCTGAGCCACAGACAGCAACATCCAGTACAGATCCAGTCATTACTGAGGCATTGATGAGGTGATTTAACATCAGATGTATAAGGGAGGGAGAAAAAAAAGTAGCTGGGTTTGGATTCTTAGAACACCAATGTTCTCCTTCAGTTCCTTTCAAAAATATTAGAATCTCCAGTAAAGCAACTGTAGTGGTAAAAATGAGACCAACTTGTGGGTACCCAGCCTTGGTGCCTCATTAGCTGAAGCTCCAAAAAGGCTCATTCATGAGAAAGGTGGTTTGGTCTGAGCCTCACAGTAGTAAAGACCTGTAACAAAATCTCCAGGACCTTCATTCCTGGCCTTCATGATACTCTGAAGGTTCATTCCTGCAAGCTTTCATGGTTGGCACAAGAGATTCTCAGCTGGCAAAGGAGAGAGGGAGGCATTAAAACATTTTCAGCAGCTTCCTCTCCGTATTTTACCTTTCCAACTAAGCAGGAACTGTTCAGCTACATGTTCTGGAAAACACAAGCTCCAAGTATTATATAGCAGATGATTATTGCAGTGAGGAGGAATACAGGAGTTGATCCTACAGCCAAGATTTCAGCAGAGCAATTGGTGATTTTCAACCCCTTCCCCACCTTTCCCTCTTCGGTGCTTTGCTTTGAGATACTTCAGCGTATGGTTTCCCACAGATCAGCTTTCCAAAACTTACTGGTAGTACAGCCCAATCACATGTACTTCCAATTACAGTCACCTAAGTACAAACAAATAAAGATACTAGGATGGGGAGAAGGTAGAAAATAGGACTCATGGTGCTGCACACTGCCAGAACTCTTCCACAACTGCTGGAAGAACAAGCCACGCAACACATGATGAACAGAGGTCCATCCATCGCTGCCTGGATTATTGCTCAGAAGCCTTCCTAGAACAAGACAAGGAGCAAATTCAGGGGAAAAAGGGCTTTTCCTAGTCAACAAGCAAGGAAGCTTCTCCAGGTGAAGACTTCCATGAAGAGAAGCCACACACACACATACACACATAGGTTTGCCCTCCCCAGCACTGGATATGTGCCTGGGGAATCAATGCAGCAGCCTCAGATCCATACATTCCAGAAGCCCTGGGAACAGGGGTGAGGTGGCACTTTTCAGAGCATGGTATCAATAACAAAGTGCAGGCAGAGCTAGGGAGAGCCAAGTGCCCCACCTGACACACAGCCTCGGAGCTCCCACTGCATGGAACCTTTATAATCCCATAAAGCCCTTTTATGCAACCTCAGCTGAGTGAGGTCCTGTAAGGCAACGGTGTCAGTCGGACGCTTTCTCAGCTCCTCACAAAGACCAAGCTGTTCTTTCCAAAGAAATGTTTCAGGAGGGGGATATCTTTTTTGTTTATTACACACCCAATTCACAACTGTTATGATTAAACTGCCAGCCAGAACTCTGGGATTGTATTATTTTGGATCAAGGGGACTGAGCGTGAGATGAAGTGGACACCTTCTAGTGGAAAGTGTCCCTGCCCATGGCGGGGGGGGTTGCAACTGGATAATCTTCAAGGTTCCTTCCAAGCCATTCTAAGATGGAGAGTCTTAGATTCCAAGATTCTAAGTGGCCCACTTGCACCATCCAGATCTCAGGAAGGACCTGGCTGACATGCCATACCCACCAAGCTGAAAGGAACCTTTGCAACATCATTTGCACTATTCCCCTTCTAGTTCCATCTGACACTAGTTTGAAGCCAGGAAACCAGGTTTATTATCCCCTGATTTAATCAGTGTTCAAAGCCAGGTTGAATAAAGCCTTGAGCAACCTGGTTTGCTGGGAGGTGTCCCTGCCCATGGCAGGGGGGGTTTGGGCTAAATGATCTTTAAGGGTCATTCCAACCCCTTAACATTCTTTGATTCTATAATTAGCAAGACCTATCTATTTTGCACATATGCTGCTGGTGATATTGAGCTTCTTTGGTTGTGAACTTCATCTCAAACATTGCTAATTGCTTTGTTTTCCTGAAGTAGAGTCTCCAATCACTAGGACATTGGAGAGATCCCAAACGCATCTCCTGCCACTGCACAACTCACAGCGATAGCTGCATATAGCCAACTTTTATCTGTGGCACCATGGAATCACTGCCTTTCCAGAGAGGCAATTCAAGACAGATCCTGCTTTCAGCTCATCTTAGAGCTCAAGAGTTTTTATTGCCTCATCAGCTCACACTTTCATCAATGTCCCTGGATTTTCCCCTGTTTAAGTGGGGAGTTTCCTGATAAGGATTTGAGGGGGATGAGACAGAACTGAGGCATCTCCATAGACCTGGGGGTGCACTCATTTTTCAGATGCTCAAGAGTTTCCTTTGCACTGGAGATATGAGCCCAGAAGAGCTGCTTTCCTGCACGGAAAGGCCTCTGCTATACCCTCCTGAAATGACAGGCCTGCTGAAATACTGCATTCCTATCCCAGTGCTTCCTCCTGTGTTGGGACATTTATCTTTGGTACATCTGTACAGCAACTGAATTGAATCTGTTTTCACATTTTATGAGAATGTTTTTCCTGTAGTGTTGGTATACTTTCAGCCCTTTTTCTTCTCTTCCCACCACTTTTCCTTCCTTTTAATAATGAAACAAAGCTTCTGGAAAATTTACAACTTGAACACTAACTTTCACTGCAATACTTAAATTAATGATTCCACAACTCAAGGAGTCAGACTGAGTTATGCTGGACACGAGGACTAGATTATTTTTTGCATCCAACAACCTCCAGTTGCCCTCTCTCTCCCACACCACACTCCCACACTGTGAAGCTTTCCTAAATTGATTTACCACAGTACACCCCATCCTGCAAAAACCAATTGAATATTTGAAGGATTAGGAAACCAAAAGCCCAAGAAAACTCTGAATTCCATGGTGACTGAAGAAGACTTGATATTTGAAGCAAGAGCTGGACACTGGAAAATCAACCCTCTCATTCTGCACTACATTGTTTGGTTTTTTAAGCATTCATGGTTGCAATTGCCACCACTATGCTCACACTAACCCAATATCCTTTGGAGGAAAACATCTGAACATTATTCACCAGCCTCAGTTCTGTTCTTCCCAGGATCCCCAAATCATCTGGTATCAGACAAGTCTTTCTCTCCCCTTTGCTTCTAAATGATTAATTCTGTTTTCTTTGTACCCCTCAAAGCTACAACCAAGTGTCTTCCCCCAAGACACATTGCTCATCCCAGCATTCAAGTGCTCCCCTCTATTGCTGCCTTGCTTAGACCACAAAATCCAGAGCCACACAGGCAAGTTTTAAAATTCTCTGCCATTCTTCCAAGCGCCAAAGACAAAGGTTTCCTACTCTGGCTAATAAAATACACACACAAAAAGTCCCATATCCCTATAAGTCCTTATAAAAAGGAAATGCAAGATGTCCTCCAACCCTCAAGTGAGGATTTCTAGGCCTCCATAATATCCTGACATCTCAGCAAGTGTTAAGTCCCTTCCTGAAGATCGCTCTGTTAGTAAACCCTTTCCTCTAGCTCAGCTTTTCTCAGCATAGTTTTTTCAGCCATCTCCT